CCGCCGCTGCCGCCACAGCAGGCCCTCAGCCCGAGTCCCGGCCCTCGCCACCGCCACCGCCGGCCGGCCTACAGCTCCCCAGCCTCCGCTTCCCTCCCCGCCCCCTCCTCCCACCTCCCCCGAGAGTCCGCCCACGGCGGCCACGGTTTGTCCAATCAACAAGCAGAGAGCGGGGCAATTGCCGGATGTAGCTGTGATAGACAAGAGAGACGAGCCAATGGTTGAATGCGTCTCCTCCTCCGCTCGGCGAGCTCCCAAGACTGACACGGTCCGCCGCCCAATGGCTGTCTGCTCCGCCCCGTGGTGCGGTCCCGCCAATGAGGGGCGGGGGGCGGGAGCACAGCCCCGTGCTTGGCATTCCGGACCCTTCCGCCAAATACAGGTCTTCTGCTTGGACTCCGAGGCAAGTGTACTGGTTAGGCGCTTCCAGGGCCTTGTACGGCCGGAAAATGAGAGCCTTGGGCAAAGAGTGGGAGGTAGCATGGCTGCCGGAACCTCCCTCTCGACTGTTCCCACGGTGACTTGCAGAAGTTCAGGGAGCCCCAAAGGGGCACAGAGCCTATGGTCCTGGCGCGGCGAAGCTCGCGCCGCCATCTTTCATGCTGGCAGCGTAAAGCCGCACTCCTCTTCCTTTCCGGACGGGCCGGGCGTCGCTCCCCACCCGCCCTCCCTTCGCAGCCCCCGGCCAGTCAGCGACAGTCGTGCCGAAAGTTAAGGGTGTCGCCTCGGAAACACCTCCAGGGGTGACTTGGCACGACACTGGTGGGACGTTGGGGTGCGAGATTTTGGAGTAATAGCGATGTTAGACTTTCCTTTTTAAGAACGTTCTTCAGTTTTAGCGAGTTCTGGGGCCCCAACTAGTCATGCTTCCGAAAAACGCCTTCGTGAGACTCGAACTTGCAGTCTAGCCGAACCAGTTGCAGATTAAGCCACTCTGCTCTTGAGAATCCAGTGGAGTAACCCTTGACTGGTGGCCCAGTCACCTGCCTGCTGCTTAAATAACCCCGGGCGATGCTCCTGCAGCTAGTCCAGAAAACACATTAAAGGGAGCATGCCATTGAAGTTTGTAGCCCTCCCATGTGTGAGACAAGTGTCAACTCGAATTCCTCCTTCCCTTGAAGTGCCCATAATGTAGTGGTGGAGTCATTCGTCCTTGCAGAGCTAAGGGCAAGGCCAGTGGATAATCCACCAGATGAGAACAGAGTACCTCTCTGGATGCCAGAGTCCGTGGGCTTCACATCCGTGGTTCACAGCTGCACAGCCCTTTCACTATGTGCCTGCCTGGTGCACTGGGTAAGTGCTTAGCTGCTAACTAAAAAAGATGGTTGGCTCAGACCCACTAGCTGGTCTTCAGAGAAAGAGGCGGCACTCGCTTCCTTCAACATCACAGCCTTGGAAACACTGGGACTGCTGTCTTTAGTAGCTATGAGTCAGAACAGCAACTCCCCCCTCCTCCCTGTACTTAAATAAAGCATCAGCATCTACTCCTCTTGCCCTTGGCTCTGGCTCCAAGCAGAAACACCAATGCCTGCCTGCACAGAGACGCCTGTGTTCTCTATAGTCTTGTCAGTCATCAATCTCACTATTCCAACACTAGTCCAGGATTCAACCTGTAAGCTTTCCTGTGTACCTTGTTCTGGATCAGAATGGAAAATTCGGGGTCTATTCTGGTTTCACTTTGTTGGCCACGACTGAACTGGTTCGAGCCAATTCCAAGACGTATTCAAAACCTAGAACAGTGTCTGGAGTTTAGTAAGCAGAATACTTACCGAATGATAGAACAGAAACTCAAGCCGGCATGCCCCCCAACCCTAGTGAATGATTATAAGTTACTATTTAAATTAGGAATTGCTTCTTGGGGGTATGGCTTTGAAGGATAAGGGCAGGTTATCAAGAAAATGGACCACCATTCAACTGCTGAATTAGCAAGATTCTGAATATAAATACTGATACTGAATAAGATGAGAGGAGAAATTATAATGTGACCATGAATAACAGTGGTTCCCCGAAGATAAGGAAGTTGAGAGGAAGCATCGCAGAACAATAGAACTAAAAGATACTAAGCTTAGACTAGTATGCTGTCAAGTCAACTTAAAATTATATTGGCCAAGTCCGACCACAGAATGGCTCCGGGAGTGCTTCGTAGCAGTGTTACCTTTATGGAAGTAGATTACCACTTCTTTCTTCCCTAGTGTAGCTAAGGGGGTGCAAGCTGCCGTCCTTTCTGGGTTAGCAGCTGAACATTGAATCATGCCACCACCAGGGTTCCATAGACTGGTATTCATTTAGTTTTTATCGTAGACTAGTATTTATAAACAAAAAAACGTGTTGCTGTCAAATAGATTGTGACACAGTGACCGTTTTTGTGCAGAGTAGAACTGTCCCATAGGATTTCCAGGGCTGTGGATCACCGGTTCTCAACCTGTGGGTCGAGACCCTTTGGGGATCAAACAAACCTTTCACACTGGTCACCTGATTCATGACAGTATCAAAATTACAGTGATGAAGTAGCAACGAAAATAATTTTATGGTTGAGGGGGTCACCACAACGTGAGAAACTATCTGAAAGGGTCTGAGCATTAGGAAGGCTGAGAACTACTGCTGTAGATGCTTATGGAAGCAGACCAGCGTATTTTTCTCCAGAGGCATGGCTTGTGGGTTCGAACCACTGACCTGTTAGTTTGCAACAGAGCATTTTAGCCTCTGTGCCACCAAGATTTCTTAGAGTAATAGTGATAAGTGCTTTAGGATACCCTGTTTCCCCGAAAATAAGACAGTGTCTTATATTAATTTTTGCTCCCAACGATGCACTAGGTCTTGTTTTCAGGAGATGTCTTATTTTTCCATGAGGAAGAATACGGTACATATTTATTGTTTATTGTTTTATTAAAAGATAACTCGCACTTCCTGTCTGCTCCAGCTGCAGCCAACAGTGAGCTGTGCAGTGGCGCCTGCCACTACAGTCCAGAGTCCAGAGTTATAGTAGCTTCTGGGGGGCCTTATTTTCGGAGAGGTCTTATTTTCAGGGGGATGCCTTATATTTCAATGAGGCAAAACTGTAAGTAGGTCTTATTTTGGGGGTGTCTTATTTTCGGGAAAACATGGTACAACAGAGACCCCTATCTCAAGTATAAGAGCATTTATTAATTCTTAAGGAGACAAAGGTAACACAGACACATCATCCAAATGAGGGAAGCCATTAGCAAATGGTTAAAATGGTGTCCAAGGGTTTGTTGACATTCAGAGCTTTTAAAAGGTCTTGGGAGGGCAAAGGAACCGGTCACAAAAGCATGATGGTGGCAGATCAGTGCATCACAATGATAGGAGGGATCACAGAAGCAGGAACTGGACCATGATTGGGACACATACATTGTTAGACAGCAGGGCTTACACGATCAGGCCAGGGCCTTCTGATCCGCCTTGGTCAGGCGTGACTCATGACCATGTGACCTCTGTTACCAGGACCTCCATCAAAGACACACTTAGGCAAGCCCCTCAGAGAGGTGGCCTGAAAGGGCTGGAGGCAATGCACCCTCCACGGCATTCTCCCTGAGGCCGGATCATCTACTCCCTTCTTAGAGATCAGAAAGAATCCACTGGAGACTTAATCTATCTGGGGGTCCTGTAAATGGATTTTTGGGGCTGTCATTGACATCCACAGCCTTTTGCAAACTTGGGTGCTCAGAATTTAAACTCTAATATAATAATAATAATAGTGATAAACAACAAAAATAATAGAGGGGGAAAAAAACCATTGCTATTGAGTCTTTATATAGCGTTTCCCAAACCGTCAGTCTTTCGGAGAGCAGACAACCTCAACTTTCTCCCTCCGGGACTTGTGGGTCTGAACAGCCGACCTTGCAATTAGCAGTCCAAGGCTTTGCCCAGTGCCACCAGGGCTAGATTACTATTACAAGAATCTAAATATAAGACAATTTTGAGAATGTGTAAGGACAGATTGCATATCAAGTGTGGACATTTGTCAGCGAATAAAGAACAATTTTAAGCCCTGACACAATTGAAAACAAAACAAAATACAGAACAACCCTGTGGGAAGCAGAGAACGGGAAGAGAGTGTATACGGATGAATCCTTTATCCTCATATCTGAAGGAGCCTGGCAGGCTGGGTTTCTGAGGTGGAGGGAGGCCTTCACCCTTGTGAGTTAGAGGTGAGTCCAAATCACGTTGTCATAATTGTTCCCTAACCCTATTGTTGCCCACTACATCCTCCCATAGTAGTGCTCCCTTAAAGTACCCCTGACAAGCACATGGCTGATTGC